ACAAAACTCTTTTGTGGCAGGACACATAGAATAACTTTTTGGCATTGCACAATTAAGCAAATGAAAAGATAACTTTTCTATTGCATGTGAATATATTATGAATAAATTAAAAGACTGTTGGAAACCAAAAACACAGAAGTAAACTGGTTTTTTCTCAAAGTTGGCCTAATTATTTCTCAAAAATAGGAAAGTCTCCAAATAAAAACATTGCCTTCTTTGTTCTCTGAAAATATTTTATATGTTCAAGTGAAATTTAATCATTTTATTATTGTATTAAGGGGAAACTTGTATTAAGTGGTCTGTGGGCCTTTACAAAATTGTGCTCCCTGAAACTCAAGAGATTGACAAATTACTGAGATCAGTAATTTTGTGGCTACCCTTAATATTTTTTAAACAAGGAAATTGAAGAATTAAAATACACAGGAAAGGGCAGATGTAACAGCTTTATGAATGTGATTTCTCCTACTATGTACAATTATTTTTAGTAAGCTGGCTTCTGTTTATTATATTCTCCAAAATAAATTGTGGTTCTGTAATTGTTAAACTAGTATCAGATACGCCTATAAGATCATCAGAGTCTGAACTCATAATCAGGAACGTTTTAATTTCAAATTGTTCTGTAAAGCAATATCAAAAGTAACAGAGATAGGAAAATTATTATTGTAAAAAGGTCTAAAGTTCTTTTAAAATAGGACAAAATTTTATATTTATGATTTGGGTTAAAGACTGTTAAGGAAACTGTACATGTTCTCTTGTGCTCTTATTTGTTATTAGTGTCAATATTTGGGAAAGAAGTGTAAAACTGAATGTACATTTAGTTAAATAATGCCTATTATTGGCAAATTAATAATTATATTCATATAATTATCACTTCATGGCTATTGAAAAAGTTTGGTAATAAAATTTATTAATTAATTTGAACTTTAAAATGTATTTGGCTCTAGACCTCTGACTTTAAACACAATTTTATGAAGTATGGGGTAATTAATAATTTTAATTGATAATTAACATTACAGCACAATGCTGTCCTTCGTCAGGAGTTTTTGGCCATCGAGACAGTCTGCAGAGATCTTTTTTTTTTAACTCTAGACTCAGAGTTTATTGCAGATACTCAATCTGGCTGATTTTTACAATTTATCTGTGATATATGGAGATGATTGCTTCTATTCTAATCAATAGGAGAGTAGAGAGCCAGAATATAAGATTTGTTCATAATCATTTCTTAAAATAAACTTAAATTTTAGAATAGTTTTAGATTTATGGAAAACAAGTACAGAGTTCCTGAATACCCTACGCTTAGCATACTCTGCAGTTAATATCTTACATTACCATAGTACAGTTGCCACAACTAAGAAACAAACATTGGTATATTACTATTAAATAAAATTCATATTCAAATTTCATTAGTTTTCCCCTAATTATTCTGTCCCAGAATTCCATCTAGGATGCCACATTACATTTAGTCTTCTTGTCTCCTTTGCTTGCTATGGAATGTGACAGTTTCTCAGAAGTTCCATGTTTTTGATGACCTTGAGAGTTTTGAGGAATACTGGTCAGGTATTTTGTAAATTGTCCCTCAGTTTGGGTTTGTCTCCTGGTTAGATTGGGTTTATGGGTTTTGGGGTGGAAGAACACAGCAGCGAAGTTCCCTTCTCATCACATTATATCAAGGGTACATGCTATCAACATGTCTCATCACTGATGATGTTAACCTTGCTCACTTAGTCAAGGTAGTGTTTGCCAGGTTTCTCCACTGTAATGTTCCTTCCCCCTCCCTCCCCTTACCCTCTCATACTCTACTCCTTGGAAGCAAGTAACTAAGTAAAGCCCACCATTAAGGGGTGAGAATTAAACCCTACCTCCTTGAAGGTGGCAGGGGAGTATATACACAAATGATTTTGAATTCTTTACAGGATATTTGTCTCCTCCATTTATATCAGTATGGACTCATGGATATTTATTTTACACTTTGGGTTGCAATCCAATACTGTATTGTATATTTTGCTGCTCAAATTGTCCCAAATTTGGCCATTGGGAGCTCTTTTGGGTTGGCTCCTGTGTCCCTTTGACATACTCCATCATTTTTTTTTTTTTTTGAGCATTTCTTTCTGGCACTACAAGATATTCTAGCTCATTTCCTGTCCCAGTCTTAGGTCAGCCATTTCTCCAAGGACTCTGAATCCTTTCATTGGAGAGTAGAAGTAGAAACCAAAATCTGGGTGCTGAGTGTGCTCATTGCTACAAGGGTGTCATCACCTCTATGCCCTCTCAGTGGACAGAGCTAGGAAATATAGGTACTTACACTAACCCATGTATACATCCATATCTATAATTTTATCTTTGTCCACCTGTATCTGTAATAAGCTAAACACAATTCCATACTGATGTCACTGACTCTAATCCAATACAACATGGTTCATTCTAGTCTTTTCCCCTTGCTTTTTTGTAATCTCCCTCTCTAATAGTAAGAAGCCTGACTCCAACCATCTGCCATCTATTTATTTGTTTGTTCATCTCCAGTTTACATGTAAATCAGTTTCAGAATTGTTAACGTGTACCCCGTTAGAAATAACTTTACCAATCCTTTTGTCTTTAGTTTTATAGTTTCCAGTCAAAATATCATTTTCCAAAGTTAGATCAGTTCCTTTTCCTCCACTTCCTTCAGTGAAGTTATGTCATACATTTATAGATTATTTTGTCACAGTCCACATTCCATCCTATGGATCCCCTGACCTTCTGGCTGATTTGTAAAATTTGCGTACAGTAAGGTTCACTTTTTGTGCTGTAAAGTTTTAAAGGTTTATACAAATGCAGAATGTCATGTACCCACCACGATAGTACCAACAGATTAGTTCTACCACCCTTAGAAAACCTCCTGTTCACAATCTTTTGAGAGTTCCCAGAAGATCAGTTTTCAGACTTATATTTCAGCTTGGTCCTTGTTGGGAAAGAACCTAGGTGGTGAGTTCTTTCATCTCAGGCAGTGGTTCTCAATCCTAGCCGCACACCAGAATTACCTGGCAACCTTTAAAAAATACTGATGACTGGTCCCACCTCCAGATCCTGGTTCCATCATCCCTCCTGGTTCAATTAGTCTAAGGTATAGGCCTGGGCATTGGGACTTTGAAAAACTCCCCAGATGCTCATAATGTTCTGCTAAGTTTCAGAACTACTGATCTTGGGTTCATCTGTGTCATGATTGGATTAGATGGCTTTTGATAACAACACACATAATTAATTGATGCATCTACATTACTTTGGGGGGATACTATGAACTGTCAGGTAAGTTTTTTGAGTAAGTAATATGGCAAGGATGAATTTCACATGCTAAATGATCATGTATGCAAAAACACTATTTTTTATTCTCTAACTGAACTCAAAATGAATTTTAATTGCTACTGCTGAGGGCAAATTTAATTTTGACAAGTCAAAGTGACTCAATTACTTCTAGTTTAAAACTTACTTCTTTGTGGATAGAGTTAAATTCAGCTTGACTTCCTCCCTTTCTCTGTCCATTTTTTCCTGGACCAGTCTAGGTTTGGGTCCAGGTGATCTCAGATGGCATAGGCATCGAGGAGTATCTGGTTGGAGGAGGTTTTTCTGCCATTGTTTTCTGTTTCATCACCCTGGATAATGTCAGGTGATTTGCTCTGAGGGCCTTTGACAATGTTTCAGGCTGGCTTGACCATTACTTCTGTGCTCTGGGGTGCTGCTGATCCTCTGAGATCTAGCCACCTTCCTCACCCAGCCCTTGGCTGATAGTCTCTACCCAAGTGTCTGTTATGAGGACACCAGGCCCTAGGCTTTGGTGACTCTCTGGTAAGCCACCTGCTTTAAATTCTCAGCTACCTTCTTTGCCCCTCTCCAGGTTGACATGGGAACCTTGCAGACTTTCTCCACACCCCTTGGCAGCTGAGAGAGACTGGGTTGGCCTCTCTCAAGCCTGCTCTAAGCCTGGATCTGCCCTGCAACCATTTGTGCTCTACTTTAGCTGCCTCTCCTAGAAGTGCTGTCTGTCTGGGGATCTCTAAATCCCAAGACCACCACATCCCCTGGGGCTTCAACCCCCAAGAGGGACCAAGGAGCCAAACCCCATATTTATATCTAAAATCTCACATTCCTCTCCCAGTTCCTTCCCACAGCAGAAAGAAGGCATGTAGAGAAAACTGAGTCACACTTTTACTCATTCTTCCACATCCTATGGTTTGCATCATTCATTCTATACTTGCTATCCTCTATGCTTTGCTAATGATACACAGTGCCAAGATTTTAGAATTTAAAAAACAACAACTTTTCTTTCTCAAGAATCTGACTTTCTCAAAATAATGGGCTTGGGCTTTCAGACTATTGCTTCTGTTGTGTGTTTTCTAAAAATCCATTCAAACATCCAGTCTCCTTCTTTGTTCTGGGCTGTATCTGCTTTCTGCTCCAAAGCAGTGAAAGGCACTGATTAAAGTGGTGAAGGACTTGAGCCAACAAGAAAATTGTAGGGAAAAAAAAAAAAATCTCTATTAATGTTTCAAAATAATACCCCTCTACCATCATATCATGGTATGATATGGACCTGATACTCCAAATTAATTTCAACTTGGAGTTGAATGGATTTGGAGGGAAAAATGATTAGAATACAAGTTGTGAAAAAGGCCAATAACATGTACCTGCATTTAAAGGCACATAGGTCTTGCGTCATATATGATATAATAGACTGGACATATAATTTAGGTTTGGATAAAAGCTCCAAACCAGGTGCATTCAAGAACTCAGGATGCAGAAAAAGAATATTGCATGTATTCTGTACATATTCTAGGAAAATTTCACCGCCAAAGTGGCAGTTGGGGATAGCTGTCCAGAGAGACTTTAGTCAAAGTCTGTTGAAATTAAAAAAAAAAAAAAAGATGAATCAAAGTGATTGAAGATGAAAATCCACTGGAAAAGCAGAATATCAGCTGTGCTCAGATGCACAGGTGAGTAACCACACTTTTCATTTGTTTTGTCCTCAGCTGGAAAGGCAGCTAACAATGCAGAATGAAATGAGGGAAAGACAAATGGCCATGCAGATTGCTTGGTCCCGGGAATTTCTCAAATATTTTGGAACATTTTTTGGCATTGCAGCCATCTCTTTAACAGCTGGGTATGTTTGCTATTTACTTTGAAATTTTCTCAAATAATTTATTTCTTTCTGTCTTTGCCATTATCACATTAAGTTGATCAAGATAGGACTTCATCCAACTAGAGTATATGTAAACAAAGTAACCTCATAGCTTAGTCCTTGGAGGTAACTCCGTAGAACCAAGGTAGTAGTAGTTAATTCTGCCCTTTTTTTCCTGTTTTGATATTTGCTCTCCATCTTTAAAAAACTGAAGTATAATTGACATGCAGTATTATATTTGTTTCAGGTGTACAGTGATTCGGTATTTTTATACGTTAAAGATGACCATCATGATATGTCTGGTTACTATCTGTCACCACACAAAGTTATTACAATATTGTTACTATATTCTCTATGCTGTACATTACATCTCTGTGACTTATTTATTTTATAACTGGCATTTTGTACCTCTTAATCCCCTTCACCTATTTAGCTCACCCCCTACACCCCTCCCCTCTGGCAAACACCAGATTGTTCTCTGTATCTATGAGTCTGTTTCTGTTTTATTTTGTTTGTTCGTTTTATTTTTTACCCATCACATATAAGTGAAATCATATGGTTAATTCTGCCTTTAGTTTCTTAGATTTCTTCTGTCCTTTTCTCCATTTTTATAAGTTGAGAGGACTGACTTGACAAGATAGAAGGAAGCCTCTACAAATTTATCTCCACAATCCCTAAGGGGTAGATATCAATACTTAACCATTTTTAAAATGAGTAATCTGAGCCTCAACATCAAATAAACATGAGCAAGTCAAAGATCATGCCCTTGAAAATTGCAGAATCTGGTGAGGGGTTATGGCTAAGGAGATTCTATTTCCAGATAAAACTCAAATGAATTATGTAACTTCTGAAATGGAGGACATTCTTCCAAAAAGGAAGTAAATTTTTTTTCATCAAGTGTGGAGATTTGTATTTATAGGTTATTCTTGATATTCATTCTTTTTTGTTCTTGAACCAGAGCACTAAAAAGGAAGAAGCCAGCCTTTCTCTTCCCTATTGTTCCATTAGGCTTTGTCCTTACCTACCAGTATGATTTGGGCTATGGAACTCTTCTACAAAGAATGAAAGGTAAGTCTTTGATAAACCAGAGTCTCTATTTCTGATTCATTTTCTGGTTTAAGGATCCCTTCCATATGACCCCTTGACTTATGAAGATTCTGACAAGACCTTCTCCCTGAGCCTCCAATGACCGACATTTCTGCTCCCTCTCACACAGTGGTATGTTTGAGCCAGCTCATACCAGCTCACAACAACTGATTGTCAAATTTTCAGGAATTTTGTAAGCTGGCTGTTAAATGCAGTCCTTATTAAAAATTAAATTATATAAACTTACAATTAAATTACAAAAAATAAATAACATTAAATTATATTTTAAAAAACTTGTAATAAATACTCAGAACTTATTAGTTTCTAATTATTTTACTATTATCTATATGCTTAAGTTATCTATCTTTATATTCTTAAGTATATCTATTGTATTTGTAGGGTAGAAATGTGGGTATAATATACAGACACAATAAAATACAGATACAACTTTGACTTCAGTCACATCCCATTGGTAGCTTGACGTTGGTCATGGTGGGAGTATTTACACCTGTGGAATCCCCAAATTCCAAATCAAGGCTTGACTTACTATTTTGTTGATTGTCTAGACCATGGTTTGGCAAACTAAGCCCTGTGGATTGGCCATATGTTTTTGGAAATAAACTTTTATTGGAACACAGACATGCCCATTCATTTATGAATTGTCTATTTTCCCATTACCATGACAGAGCCAAGTCATTGCAACAGAGACATAAGACCCCACAAGCTTAAAATATTTACTGTCTGGCCCTTTAAGAAAATTTGCCAACGCATAGTCTAGACTTAAGGAAGTGCTAAAGAAAATGTTAATAATGCAAATTATGCTTAAAAGTTTGTTGTGTCTGTAGCCATTACATTGTGAATAACATAAAAAAATGAGGAAATATTCTTCCAACATTTAAAAATTATCTGATTCAGCAAAGTTATTCACACCATTCTCAAACAAGTTAAAGTTCCAACATATGTCATTGTTTCACTTTTGTCCTACTCACTAATGTAAATGAAAACACCAACCATCATTCATGTTGGAATTATATTCTCTCATCAGCTGCAGCTATAGATTGGCTCTGGACAAGAGTTCAGCAAAAATCAATGAAAACATTCTGTGAGAATCAATTTGCTATATGGAATTTATGATAAAGTATATTTATAAATTGTGTGTACATATATTTTATATAAGTAAAATTTATAATAAACTTAGGTACATAATAAACTTACATACTTTTTTGTTTCCGAAGAGCTAGTTGTTAAATATTTATCAGCACCATGCTGCTCTCATAGAACTCTGGCTCTTATTGCCCTAGAAAATAGCGCAGCTGCCACTCAAGCTATTCCTGTCCCAGGAAGATAAATTTTTCCATTAGTCTAGGATACCCATGTCCTCCAAATTCCCACCACTTCTCTGGGAGCTACACTCTCATGAGGATCCCTGTGTCCCTACTTCTCAAGCCTTCAACCCAGAGCATATTGCAAACAGTACTTTCCCAAGCCTTTTTTTTTTTGCCATCCTGATCTCTCCTGGGCAGTGGGCCCATCACTATCCCTAAAGCTCTGTTTGTTATGGGAAAGGAGGAGGTGCAGTCTCCTCTGCAGGTATTGGGAAGTAGGAAGTAGAACATCTCATTCCCAGGCCTAGGGAGATGAAGGGTTATATATTCTTAAAAGTTCTCGTTTGAAAATGGAAACATACTTTCCACATAGAAACTATGCTAAAATGTCCTTTGGAGTCAGGCATTATTGATATCATAGTTCAGCTATATTGCAGGCTAAACAGTTTTTTGTTGATGGCCTAGAAACTGATGTATAGCATTATTACTATGGGAAAGTGTATTCTAAATTCAAAAACCCTGTTCTACAAGTTAACTGTTGGAGTACAATCTCACTTTAAGCTGTAAACTAACTGTACACAACTGATTTACTAATGTTAAAACTCATTTCAATAACCTGCTCAGTTTCACATTACTCATCTGCTTAAGAACTCATTAATCTTAGCTCACCTATGTCTCGTTGTTTATCTGGACATTAGAATTCAGTGCGCCCCATAAAAGTTAATATGTAGTATTAAGAAATTTCAACTCTATTATATAGCATTCACTTGAACATATTACTAATGGAGAGCAAATTTATTTTCTAGGAGCATTTTGATTATATATTTCTGAAGTAGTTTTATTACAGGTCCATCAGAGTTTACAGAATATAAAATTTTAAACTTTCAAGCACCTTGTGGGAATTTCCTGTTAAAAAAATACAACTTTAGAATACACCAGGAAACTTGCCATATTAGAAAGTTTAGGTTATAACACTGAGCCCTGTTAACTAGTGATAACCCCAAAATACAATCCTTGTTTGACTGAATTTATCATGAGGCATTCTGTAAACACATACAGAGAATTTGCCATGTGCGAGGCATCCTCACATTGAAACATGTGGTCTGTCATCAAAGGCCTGCCTAATTATATACAATTTATAATGATTTTTATTACTATTTAAGACTGAGGCCAAAAAAAGACATTTGCAGATGGTTGAAATGTTCTTATAATTTGAAAATTGTAGCCTGTCCTGTTGCGTTTGGAGTACAAATTAATTATGTGCCAAAAGAGCAGTACTTAAGGAAAACTTTTGCCTTCATTCCCAATGAAGTCTTATGGAATGTTAACAATGTGTATTATAATTTTTAAAAAGTCTATTAATCAGTCTTTAACAATAAAAGTTGGCAAATGTCACTGGGCCATAAAATTACTAACTGTTATTTGAAAGAGGAATTGTTTATAAAAATGTGTATATGTATGTATGTGTATGTATACAGACTAAAGAACATTTAATATTATTTTGGGTATTTATAAGTGGTTTCAGGTCAAAGATTCGCTTTCCTGAAAAATTAGAATTTTTAATAAACTTTATTTTCTCTCGTGTCATTTGTGACATATTAAGGGGCAATAGGAAGGACTATATGTGGTTTCTCCACACCAAACCCCTCCAAACACAACTAATATTTATCATCCTGACTTTCCTTCAGGGAAAAAAGTATTACTTGGTATTCTTTCTCTTCTACATTTTAAAATGCTGTCTTCTTCAAATAAAATCTATGGCATCTGATGTATCCCTCTTTGAATATTCAGAATTCCTTTCCTCGCAAAGGAAAGAATGACCTTGAGGACAAGGAGTGAAATATTTTACTGTGAGATTTAGGGACATGCCTCCACACAGTGTTACAGCCTATCCCTGTAATTAGGCCTTCTCACAAAACACCAAAGACCCCTTTTTCACCTTGCATATTTCTGTACTTTATTTAAGGTGAAGCTGAGAACATACTGGAAACAGAAAAGAGTAAGTTGCAGCTGCCAAAAGGAATGATCACTTTTGAAAGCCTTGAAAAAGCCAGAAGAGAACAGAGTAAATTCTTCATAGACAAATGAAATCATGTTTACCCATGAAATATCAAAACAAAGAATTGTTGACTTGAATCATGGCTTTTACAATTTTTTAAATACTCAAGACTTTGATATAATGGGTTTTATTTTAAAAAATTAAAATGCAAGATGAGTTTTGTTAAACTATTTTAAAATAAAATTTATAACATTCAACACAAAATCATGGAGGTACTCTAAATAACTATCAGATTTCCTACATGTGTGTGTTACAAATATCTAAATGTAAAATTAATAAACTGTATTGTTTTGAATTCCTGGAAGCAAATGTCCTGCTGCTCTCATTTCTCTGTCAAACATGCTTTCCCCATTACATTCATCTTCCACAGTTACTCCTTCTATTTTTGCTTTGTCGATTGTGTCCTGTCTCCACATGATAGAAAACAACTAATATTAATGACTAACATATATATTGCACTTACTTTGGCCAGGCACTGTTCTGAGTGTTTTGCATATATTCTTGTAATCATCCCAACAATCCCATGAGGCAGGCACCAATTTAGGAATGTGGAAACTGAGGCACAGAGAGGTTGAATTACTTGCCTAAGGTCACATATGGACAGAACTGGGACTTGAACCTAGATAGTTTGGCTCCAGTGTCTGTGGTCTAAAAGGCCTTGAAAAAGTTAGGCCTTAACACATTCTTGACAAATAAAGACAGCTGTGAAAGACAAAACGTAAAAATATTCAAATAATGACTCAGGGCATAGTTGCTAAAGAGATGGGAAGGAGGGGGAGGTTGATTAGCATGTTCACCTTTTTATCTCCACTTGTCAGGAGACCTATACTCATAAAATAATCCTATTTATACCCATTCTTAGAATTACAAATCCTACATATAATACACTAATCCCAAAGACATTGATTGATACCTACTACGTGTCAAGAACTGTTGTAAGCACTAGGACTACATGAATGAATGTAGACAAGGACACTGCATGCCGGGCAGAGGAATATGTTCTAGTGAGGAATGAGAGAACAGGGGAGAGGAACAAATAAACACAGAGATAAACAAGATCATTTCTGATGGTGACAAATACTTCAGTAGAAATGAAACAGGATAATAAGAGAATGTTTGGAAGGTTGTTGGGAGGGGGACTACTTTAGATCTGGGACAGTAGAGACTGCCTCTCTGCAGAGGTGACATTTGAGCTGAGACCTGAATGATGAATGAGCCACTTCTGAGAACAGTAAGTATGGGGACAGGGAAGGGATTTCCAGGCAAAGGGAGTAGCCAGAGGAAAAGCTCGGAGACTTCACATAGCTGAAGAACAGAAAGAAGACCAGATAGAGGATTAGGAGATGAAATCTGAAGAGGGGAAATAAACATGAATACCTTGGCTGCTACCCTCAAGTAGCTGAGGACGTATCAACAAATGGTTTTGATACAATTATAGTTGTAGAGAAACTTGGGCCACGTCTTGAAGGATGCACTGAAGTTCTCCATGAAGACGAGGAGGTGAAGAGGAAAGGCATCCTGAGCAGAAGAAGGAGATTGATTAAATGCCAGACCATGCGTGCCCAGTCCAGGGGATTTGCTGCTGGTCATTCAGTTTGCCTGGGGCAAGGAGTTCCTCTCCTGGGAGACTTGTTAAGAAATTATCCTGGAGGGACAGCTCTACTCCTGGAGGGCATTGGGTGTAATACCAAGGAGTTTGCATTCTATCCTGAGGGTGATGAGTGTGAAACAATCTGCACTGGGATTACTCCCTTAGAGGGCAAAGATCCCAGACCCCAGTCAATGAAGAACTGCACTGGTCCACCTGAGTATTGATCAGGGCCTGAACTAAGGCTCTGGCCTTGGGGATGGATTCAGGAAAATGAAAAGAAAGAAGAGCAAGACTGGGAAACCAGTTTGAGGTTAATGGAGGGAGGAGAAGGTGATTTCCCTTCATGTAATCCGCATGGATTTTCTGGAGTCCTTGCAAAACATGGGAAAGAAGTGATTGGGAAGCACACTGGGGTCTAGTGGATGCCTAAGATCTAGCACTGACTCATAGACCATCCAGAAACTAGAATTCTAAGTATTTCTTTCCCCTTAAATTCAATCAGGCTGTCCAAACCTTCCTGACATAGTCTAGCCGGAGCTTACCAAGAATGGGTTTGAGCCCCCTGCAAGAGTTGACTGGCTAAAGACCTTATGTGGGATGTGTGTTGCTATGCAACATAGCAGGCTCTGAGGTCCCTCTGGATCACCAGGCCATTCAGCTGTATTGGCTTCTCGGCCTGGCGTTGGCTCTGAGTTCATTAATAATTGTTACTCAATAGAGCCTCTGCTAAACACACACATGCTCACATTTTTGTTTGTACCCAATTCTGAGGCAAAAAATCAAAGCAGAGCTCTTAAATAATGGCTTTGCAACTCAACTGTATTAAAATATATCCCAATTCTCTTTGGTATTACTGATTATCCAAAGCTTTTCCTTTTATTTATTATTACAGTACCTTATAATTGAAAGGACAAACATTTCTGCTCTGACACTTTTTGAGCTAGTTCTTGGCCATTTGTGTTAATTAATACTTGCATTAATTATTATTATATTTATTATTATTAAGCCCTGATTACCAACGAGACATCTGACATTTCCAAATACTGGACCTGACATGGTGTTTGTTCAGTTGGCTTATAACCACAGATTTTTGTGATATAACAAGAAGAACGAGGAAATCATTGTAAGAAAGTGTATTAAGAAAAGGATAAGAAACTAAGTCTGATTATGAACAAAGATTTAGAGATTAAAATAGTGGTAATCTCACTCAGTGTGTTTGTCAGTGATTAGAAACAAAGTAGGGGGGGAACCTCATCCACACTCCAAGTGGCTGTCCATCTCTCCCAAGACACTGCTGGCCCAACCAAAACAATGCAAAGACTCTCTTAGGTTATGTGGAGGTTAAGTTGTGGTTGGAAGGAAATAAATATGGGCCCAGAAATTCTCTGCAGCACAACAACCCTTCTTGGAAATCATTTTGTAAGAGTAAAATAGTATTCTAATAGTAGAAATGCAGTTATGACATCGCAGCATCTAAGCATTGTGAATGTTTCAAATTCATATTTAAATGAAATAACTTGAGGCTAAAATTACAGGAACTAAAATTACAAGTAAATCAAGTTTCTATGGTGTTCTAGCCGACTTAGTTTATGTTTGTGGGTAACGTTGAAGGGTGCTTTATGATGTAGTACTTAACTACACTGTAAAAGATGATAGCAGTGCCCCAAATCTACTCAAAACAGCTTTAATAGCAAATACTGAAATTATGGTCAAGATGTTAAAAAGAGAAGGGAGACCTTTAGAAATCGTCTGGTCTAAGCTCCCATTTTATACTAGAGAAACTGGAGGCCCTTAGTGCTTTACCTAAAGTTCCACATCTGGGAATGGTAGTTTGTACTAAAATCTTGGTGTTTGGTATCCATGGATTCTTTCCAATGCAACATGCTACCTTACTCTGAAAGGACAGTGACAATCAAAGTCAAAATCAGAGATCATTTTTGAAGACTATCACATATGTTTAGCCTCAGAGCCTTAGAAAGTAGTCTGAGGTGGGGTTAGAAGGGCACGGGTTAGAAGAGGATGGAGAGGGAGCAGACTCAGATTGTAAAAGTACTCTACAACCAATGTAATCCAAATATGAGCAATGTGAAATTGATAATCTATTTTATAGATTTCAACAGTTTTAATATACACATGTTCAAATGTGATATTCCAGAGACAATAGCCAAAAGCTAGATAGTTTTTCTGCTCCACTCTTTTGAAAGGAACAAATTCTTGCTGGGAAAATATTTTTAAATAAAGCCCATTGCTCAGGTGCTGTGGTGTCTCTTGGCCTTGGAGAGTGTCTGTTCTTCTGTTCTACAAGAGGCATGGAAATGCTGCCTCAGGTTTGGCCTTGTGGATGTGCTCAGGAGATTTCAGGAATACCCTGCATACTATCAACTATCTAACGTGCAGAAATTAGTTTCTAATATTCGGAGCTATTTAGGATCTTTGCTGATTTTTCTACTAGTAACTTTGGGTCAGTCTTGAAGGTTATGAAGATTGGAACAGTACTTGGGCTGCCCGTGCACCAGAAAGCCCAGACTGGCTGGGGGAAGGGGAGGAGGAGTGAGGAGGCCTAGAAAATAAGAAGAGGGGCAAGGAAGAGAGGGATGGAGCTGAGTCAAATGCCTTTCACAGCAAACAGCCAAGAATGGCTGCCAGAGTTCAGTTACTGGCTTAGGTGGAGGAGCTGAGCCCCCAGGGACCAAAGTCACCCATGGGATCCCCTCACACGCCAGTCTATTCAGCTATACTAACTCGTTTCTCAGACTACTTGGATGACACTAAGAAGTATGGCTGGGGCAGTACCAATTCATCATGACTACTGATAAAAGCAACTGGAAATCCACATCTCACTGATTAAAGACTCATAGGCCTCACTGAGACTGAGGTTTGGATGACATTTCTGGTTCACAATTTGTCAGTCCACAAGTGTCACGAGGCTGAATGATGGAGCACTAACCTCAGTTGATTTATTTTTTTCTTGGGGGACTTCATCTGTGGTCAGCAGCAGTCTATGAATGTCTTCTGCTCTGCCTGAACATGATGGACAGGCAGACCCTGAATGTGAGTTGGTTTACACGTTTCATTTCATAGGAGGACAGAGTTCAGGATGTGTCCACATCAAGTCATGTCCTAGATTGGCAATCTGGGATTCCAGCTTGGTGAACATTTCAAAAACCTGTAAGAGAACAGCTCTTGATTGTATGTGAAAGTCAATGGATTAGAGATATTAGTAGACCCTGAAATGTGATAAGGGAGGTCTGTGAAAAACTGTCAGGATGTCAGGCTTTCAGGAATAGAGGTAACAGTTTTTCCGTCTCTTCCCACCAACCCAACACCATGAATTTACTGCTGATAAAGATAGGACTTGAGTAGAAGGCAACACCAACTCTACCCAACAAGGTAATTTTGGGAAAAAAAGCAACAGAAGAGAGAGCGCTAGGAACTCAATATGGATTCTGAGGTACTTGACAATTCCACGTCTTGTTAAAATACTGCAGAGAAAAAAACGTGGCCGCTGGAATACTTTTCTTTTCGTCCTTAAGGAACTAAGAATTTTGAAAAGAGTCCAACTAATGCTCCCTATTTCAAACTAGCAATAATAAAAAGACACGTAGGGTTTGAATACGGTCTGTGCCTATCGATAGTTACTTCCCTGACTCAATAGTGCTTGGAAACACAGGGTACTGGACTGGCCTTCCAGCCAGTTCCCTTGTCTGAACTGAAGGCTTAGGACAAGCCCGCCACCTCTGAAACAGCCTGAAAGTCGAACGAGGCAGGCAAAGGGGGTTCTGTTCAGCTTCTTTTACAAGTTCCCCTGAGCAATTCAAGGAGAGACATCAATTTCCTACTAGACTAACAGTGTTTTAGGAAAAGGAAAAATTCAGATAGGCTCATGGGTCATAGTTAAGACATTCCGTTCTCCTTTTGCTCAGAGATATTCACTTCTATCTCTTTTAGCTGTCTCCATGTAGGATCTCCCTGAAGCAGACTTTGCAATAATGACTTTAGCAAGTTATTGATTTGAAAGGTGATCCCAGAAATGCTAGTGGGGAAGTAGGATAGGACAGAGAAGGAAGCTAGTAAATGAAGTGTGACCCAGGAAGTTACCTCTGTGGGTAATTGGTGCTTAATCCTGCTGGGGACTCTGGGAAATGGTTTGGAAGACGCCCTGCCTTTCACCCCAGAGTTATGGCACCCAAGGAGTGAAAGAGCTGGGGTTTTATAACCCACTCTTGAGTTCATCAGTGGAGGGCTGCTCCTGGTGCATTTTCCCCCAGCACTTACGGAGTTCAGGCAAAGTGGGCTCTGGAGGCTGGAGAAAACCCTCAGGCCAAAGATGCAGGTGTTAGAAACTGGAAGTCAGATTAGCTCAAACCAAAATTGTAAGGGCCAATGGGAAGTAGTTGAAAGCAACTCATATTTTAGTTACTGACAGTGTTACTTTGTTTAACTTTACATCTCTAAGTAACATTCCAGTGTAGCTACTTCTTAATATTTCAACTTTTTAAAATATATTCTTTTTGACATACCATATAGACCATGAAGAATTAGCTCTCTTAACTCTCACACCCCACCACGTCCGGCACAACTCCCACTCACTTGCATCCTTCCCATTTCCCCATCCTACCAGTACTGTTATGTGATCATTTTGGTTGGATCAGTGTTCAGTGTTTACATTACACTGATGAGAACACTTTTCACAACTGTGCCATGTAGTAAAGTACAATTGCTTTCCCTTTCTTGCTCAGCTTCCTGCTTTCTCTGGAATTAGTAAGTCTGACTGTTGTTTTATGTGCTTAATGTTCTATATAAATATCACTCCCTTAACCTCAAACTCTTTGTTGGTTTCTAAATCTCCTCGGAAGACATCCAGTCACATCCATTTTTCAATCAATATCTTCTTGAAGAATGTGGGGACTTCTGACCTGCTCTCCCCTGGACTGTTGTCCCTCTACATCTGGTACTCAGCTTTCCTCCTGAGTTGTCCCTTCACCACGATGGTGCGGGTTCCCTTCTCGTGTTCCTGTGTTGTGTCTTTTGTTTCCTATATTCTACGTTGTGCTCCCTCATTTGCTGGAACTCAGCCTCCTGTAGCTTTCTGAGAAAGAGTGAATGGAGGAAAAATGTTGAGACCTTACATATCAAAAAGGTCCTGATGGATTGGCTGGGTACAGAAGTCCTGATTATTAATAATTTTCCATCAGGATTTCTAAGGCATGATCTGATTTTCCTTTTGTATTTTTCAGCCTGCTTGGGTGTCAGCACCCTGTGCCGGGAAGCCCTCCTACCCAGATCCCCCTCCTCACCCTGCCTGAGCTCCAACCACTCATGCTGGGCCACCCATCACATAGATAGATGTGCTCCTCATTCCACTCAAATGCCAACACCACTAGCCTGCTCCACTGTGCAGAAGCCCTCCTTAACAAGTTGAGGCCCTCATACCTGGACCACTTTCCCTCTTCCCTGTCCCTAGTGTGGATGCCCTCCTCACTCTTCTCAGCTTCCAATACTCTCCTCTGAGCCACCACAGTCTTCTCTTACCCCTGCCAGCGTGGACACTTCCTCTGTTTTGTCCCTCCTATAGCTTTAGTGTGGAATTATTCAGAAAGCGAAGGGAAGAAGAAGAGGGAAAGAACTGAATTGTAACATTTCTCATCTAATATATATTTAGAATTTTTGAAACAAAAGTACTTTAAATTATATGTTAATGGTATTGATTTTATTGGTCAGATCATTTGATTTAGAATTTGAATATAGTTTTCACTAAAGAGTATTCATGCTGATTGGAGAAAAGTTCTCCAGTGAGTCATTCTGGCAATGCCAGCGAGCAGAAAGCAGGATTTCAAGGCCAAAGCAACCATGGAACAAAGGCCCTGGTAACCAAGAACCTCCTCCTCAGCAGAAGAGGACTGAGTCCTGAGCCACTGACTAGTTTCTGTATGGGATACAGATACTCTCAAGAAGTGTGTGGGCCCTTCAAATATTTGAATATCCTCACTCGACCACTGAGAATTTGACTTTAAATACCAGCTTTAAAGCAACATATTTTAGAACTCACCAAAATACACTATTATACTCAGTATCCCAGACCAGTAGCCTAATGGTCTGTAATTACTGAAATAATTCTAATAGTGTATAATTTTAATAGTGTAAATGAAACTATTCTGTTGCTTTAATCGAGGATTTCTCAGCCTCAGCACTTTTGGGGCCAGATAAGTCTTTGTGGTGGGGGGCTGTGCAATGCATTGTAGGATGTTTAGCAGCATTCCTGGGCTCCACCCACTAGATGACGATAGCAACCCCTCTCGACCCCCGTTGGACAATCGGAGATGACTCCAAGTTATCTGCAGCTGAGAACCACTGCTTTGAATTTATAGTTCAATCATTTAGACTCTCTTCTGTCTTTGGTCAAAGTGTATGTTTTTTTCTCAAGAGTGATGAACAACCATTACTATTTAGCTTACCAGCCGCACAAAATTAACAGATGATTATTGAAAGATTGCTTGTGGTGCCAGCAACATAAGACGCTAATTTAAAATCTGCTGAGCTAATGCTACAACATTTCCGCTATTATCTACTCTTCAAGCTCCAAGACTTCCTATTGCATCCATTTTCAAGTAACTATATTCAAAGATGACTGAAAGCAAAAACAGAGCAATGCAAAAGTATTGGATTTTAAAAATACATCCCAGGGAGAAAGTTTATCTGTCAAACTAAAACTTGTCAGCACTTTACAAAATGAATCATTTAACTTTAAAACTATTTCACTAGAGCTCCAGTTCTGTATTAACTTACTTAGTTTGGAGTTACATGAAAGATACTAATCTAAAAATCATGTTGAAAAAAAAAAACAATTCCACTTTTCAATGGTGTTGTCAATGTTCTTGACCCATATGTGAAATGTACCAAAATCTGATTGGTATTTTGCTATATACTAAGTTAGAATATCATTTCTGCTATGATTTAAAAATAACAGTATAGATATTTTTCTTTATGATTTATCCTTTTTATTAGCTCATTTCTCAAGCCTCAAATTTTCAAAAGGTAAAGAGGAAGCGCCCACATCCCTCCACAGGGATCTTAAGTAGGGCAGGACTTTAGAACTGGTATTTTAAACTTGTTGACGTGCTTTAAGTGGGTGAAGGAATTAAAGGGTTGGAGAATGTGTCTTTGATCCTCAAAGGATGAAGGTGTGTGTTACATATGTGCATATGCTAATTCTAAAAATCCAAACTGTAGTTAATTTTCAAAATCAAATCAATATGTCTTGGCCGTGTTGACTACCCGGTCGGCACTAAGGGGAGACAAAATTTTGGTGTGGTAGAAAAGGTACTGAATTCAACATGAAAAGTCTTTGCTTGAGTCCCGCCAGAGACTCTCACTAATTGCGTGATCTCTGGCAAAGCACTTCCAAGTCCTACCCGTAAAATGGGGTAAATACCTACATAACATGATTATTGTGTGGGCAAAATGAAACCATGTTTGTAAAATTTCTCTGGAAAACTGTGGTCGATCTCCAGTGTTAAGAGCTCAAGCTCTGCAGACAGACACTCTCCGTTTGAACCATCACTCTACCGCTCACCAGACCTGACTGTGTGACTGAATCTCCGTTCCTCCATCACCTCACTCGTAGTTTGGTGATACTAATATTACTCAGCTCAGAGGGCTTCTGAGAGGGATGAAAAATCAGATGACGCAGATAAAGTGTTTGCCCAATAATAAGCACTCGACATTTCCTAATGTAATTCATCTATGTTTATTGACATTCTCCGAAGCATGTTCCCTGTCTGTTACTGTTTTCATTCTACCCTATAACTTGCTGAGTTCTATTTTACAAAGAAGAAAATGATAACTGAAACTGCTGGCATTTTCTCAGAAAGTGACTACTCATTTTCCATGACACAATGGAGAGATTTGAGAACTAAAACTAGAGGAAGTGATGTGGTAAGTGGTCACATTTGATTGGTGCATTTAGATGACATTTCACACAAAAAGGTATAAATTCAACTAATGCAACCATGTATTAAACAAATGATAGTTTCTGAAAAGAATAAAACTGAAATCAGGGCTGTCCAGGAAAAGACAGAGTGTCAGGTCTCTGGGCCTGTAGACAAGAAACCTGAAAGCAGGGAAATAGAGTGTTCAGAAAAAAATTGTGCCTATTAGGGAAGTGGTCCTAGGCATTCAAAACAGCTGGTTATTGAGTCTAATAGACTCAATCGCAGGAAACTAGTGAGAAGAAGGTCTCTTCACTCATTGTGATGAAAAGAGCAGATATTCTACACACACCAAACTGCAGAAAGGGGACTCTCATCAAAACTTAATACATCACTTGTTAGAAACCACTAAATCGGAGATGAAGAGAGCTCATAATCATACAGAGGCACACAACTTGCCCTAGAGTCTTAATCAATTTTCTTCTCCACTAGTCAGCTTAGTTTAGAATGCTTCCCTTTGTCAAATGCTTTTGGGTATCTCCCTCGCTTTTTAAACAAGGAGTATACCCAATCACAACTATCAATCGAAGTTGACAAATACAGAAGAATTAAACTTCATTTATGAGAAGTGCTATTTACAGTTCTGTTCAAACTTGCTGCTATGAAAACAATACTTCTTGCATATCAACAGAATTATATGCTTTTCCACAGCTTTACTACATCATCTGTGGCATGATAGGAAGTTCTTGAGAATTGCTTCAGAACAGTTAGTAAGGGATATTCTGAGATCTTTCAAGGTTGGTATATTGAGACAGGTACAAGTAAATATAAAATATAACTTAATTTCTCCAAATATATGCATATTTAAGTGACATTTGATGTCCTTGCAAAATAAAAGGTTAATTTTGAAATTCAAGTAGGAAGGAATAAAGTAGGATTCTTCAGGTTCTATATTCATGACTGAACATCTTTGTACTAATTTTTCACATGCGTTCCATTGTTACAAGATTGCAGTAGAGTGATTAATATGTCTCTATAAAACATTGGCTAGAACCTTAGACAAGTAACAAAATATATATCCCTTTTCATTCATACACATTTGTTTTTCACCATATGAATTAGAATATCCTCATATTACTGATGTTAGCTCTTTACAATACAATTTAAAGTATTTCATAACCCATTTATGCTGAAGACTGGTGTATTTAAGAATTTTAACTTTATCAATTTCTTCAGGATTGGACAAGCAACAAATTCAATGGAATTATTCCCAAAATCATTCAACAGAGTCTTTGGGCAGTGGCTGCGAGGTAGTTTACCAACTATTCGGTACACATCAGAAAACTAGGAACCTTTAAAACTACTGATGCCTGGTCCCTGCACCAAGACACACTGATTTCATTGTTTCGGCATGCAACGTTAAGAGGGTTTCTCAAGCTTCCCAGATGGTTCTACCGTGCCACAATGTTGGGGAAACTTTGAGCTGGGGTAAAGGCCCAGGTTGGGAGTGGGAGACATGGATCATTGGCTAACCTGAAGCATCAGTCATCCTTCTGAAGAAAAGATTCTAGATTACGGGGCATGGGAATAAGGAGGGTCCTGGGGCAACTCTTACACAATCGCCTAAGAGTTGTGAAATGTAAAGATGGAGCCAATTATTGGCCGGGGCATCCAATGCTGATAACTACATGAAATTAGGCAACTGTGCTGTCCTTCATCAGGGACATTCCAGTTAAGGGATGGAAAGCTGCAATATTCCACTGAATGTTGCTTCATCATGTATACAGTGATGATACTATCCATAAAGTGTACCAACTCCCATTATTGTTCACTCAGTGGATCCAAGGGACTCTCCAGGAGCCAAGGGGTCTGCAAGAGGGGTACCCTCCTCCAGCATCATGTCATCTAGTAAGGGTCTGAGGACAGGGGAGGTTGCCTCCTCCTTCAGGTCCAGGTTTGGCTCCATTCTGCAGCAAGGAGGCCTTGGTAGCCATGCTGAGCTTGAAGGGTGCTACTTCCATGACCCAGGACATAGTGGATAGCTAGGTATGCAGGGTCACAGGCTCAGGGTCTCTCAGAGCCTCTATTTGCAGGAGAGGCCTGTATGTGGCCAGCAATTGCTGTTCTGATGGTATATGGTGCAGGGCCTAGGAGGACAGTTTCTTGCATCAGAAGCCCATGGACAATTTATGGCCATCATAGGTGGTCCAGAGACTCCAGGAGGCATGAAGGGAGGCTACTAAAGCCTCTACAATGAAGGTGTCTTGGAGGGCATTAACAAGAGTGCCCTCTGATTTCAAATTGGATAAATTCTAGAGCCTTTTGTTGGAGGGAACCCCATTTCAGGTGGGCCAACTTGTAAGTTACAGCCTCAGCGAGATTAAGTGAAAGTTGGAAATAAGGAATATGTTGACTCCACAACCCAACAAGGGCCAAAAGATGTCAGACTTGTATCAACATTGTGGGTGCTAAGAGGGTCAATAGCTGTTTCTTGACAGTATCGAGGATGGATCAGCCCTCAGTTTACCAAATAAATTTTAGAAATTTATGGGAGGTGGTGGGGCCTTACACTATGTGTGGGGCAATGGCTCATTCCTTTTTTGTGAGCTCCTTTGTGAATATTTGTATGGTCTTAATGAGTATATGAAATAAATCTCCTCAGAGGAGGATATCATCCAGGTCATCTCATGTCTGTGCTCCTGGAGAAAGGTGGACACAGTGAGACTTTGCCTGCAAAGACTGGCAAGGCTGCTGAGGTATCCCATAGGTACATGTGTATTGTGTCCCTTCAGAAGTGAAAGCAAATTGCAGCTGAGAGGCTATTGATATAGGCACTGAATAGAACTTAGTAGCCCAATCTATAATAGCAAAATATTGACCATTGCTAATTGGAGGGAACTGATCATTTCAAAACTATTGGGTACTGGCTCTTGGTACTTGGCCTTAATGGATGGGGACTATAGCATTAAGGTTAAGATAATCCACCTCCAGGCGCCATTCATTCATTCTGGGTTTAATTTAGAGGCCAAATGGGGCTGTTAAAGTGAGGAGCAGTGAGGATAATCACCCTTTAGTCACTAGGTCTTATAAATTGCCATCCTTGAAGACCCTGTTTTAATTTACCTTGGGCCATATTAGCTATTTTAACTCAGGGGGAAGGGAGTCTATTGGGTCCCATTTTGTTAGGCTGATATGTAAGTGCCAAAGACTTAACTTTAAAGCATCACCCATTGGGTCAGAACATCTATGCTTACTGTGGTCTATTTTAGGGCAATGCGTGCAATGGGGAATTTAGGCAAGACCACAGTTCTAACGGTTAAGGTGAGGCAAAACTATTTTTTCTCTATTTTATATGTCATAGCTCCCCTAGGATTATAGGGATTACCATGTTAATAATTACTGGGATCTCCATGTATAACTGTAATTTGAGCTCCGGTATTGATTCCGTCCATGAAAGTTTGCCAATTTGCATTTCAGCAGATGTTAAAGTTAATTCGAAATCTATGTTGTAGAGGTTCCAGAGCCAATCAGCACACTTTTATCTCTTTGTTGTATACATTGTTTGAGTACATTTTGGATTTCCAATTGGGTCAAATTTGGGACCTTTGCTTCCTTTTTTTTCCTTCCCCTGTAACCAGGTTCCTTCCTTCATTTTCTCTTTCTCCCCCTTCCTCTTTTGGTTGATCACTGGATATAATTTATTTTGGTGGGGGGTGGGAGGTGGGAGGGGAGCTTCTTCTCTACCCTACTCTTATGGATAAATTTCTTCTTCCAAAGTCTCAAATCAGTGTCATCAGGCTTAGGGGCTACCCTCATGGCAATGGTTGCATTATAGGGTTTAAAGACTCTGGGCTTAAGCCAGGTTTCAATTAACTCCTGTGCTGTGACACAGGGATGCCATGGGGGTTTTCCCCTATAACCCTGAGGATCAGCATGTGTGTTGTGACAGAAGCATAGGCAGCAGCAGCAGAAGAGGTATTTAAGGCATTTAAGGTAGCACTGCTATCTGCATTTAGGTATGTGAACCACAGCATGACACCTATTGGCTTTCATTTCTCTCTCTCTCTCTCTTCTCTCTGCACAGTCGCTCTCAGAATATTTTGTATTTCTAGCTGCAAAAAGTCGTGGCTTTCAGTTTCTGTCTCAGTCCGGTCACCCATTGTGCGCACCTTTTGGGTGGTTATGTGAAAAGTTCAGGAGCTCAGCAGCTGGCTTTGTAGGTAGCCACCTCCTCCTCCAGGAAATGCCAGTCAATCTCCCTAGGGTCAGGGTTCACATCCAATAAGATCATTTTGTCTAGGGCCTGTGTGGGGGCCTTCAAGCTTTGTGACTGTCAGATTAGCCCTTTGGTATACTAGTGATTAGCAACACTAAGCAAAGCCTAGATCCATTGGATAGCAATTTTCTATTGGGAGAGCAGTTGAATTACCTCCTCTGACGTTTTCGGAGGGACTGGTACCAAATGCTCCTTTCCCTTTCCTTTTCTCATCAGCATCTGACCACAGGCCTTCATGGATATGCACCTTGATACACAGGGGTTCAAGAGAATGCCTGCAAGAGCAGAAGGGGAAGCAACAGCACGGGAGATGAGCAAGGTCACTAACTTTGCCTAAGCAACAATTCTTCTTGAGCAATCAGGGTGCCATACTTCAGTCTCCCCAGGTTGGTGGTCTCCTTCCTTTCCACACACCTCACACGAGGCCATCCCTGAGCCTGTCCCAGGGGTGCACAATCACAGATAATATCAATATGGCTGCCTTCCAGCTGCCAGTGATGGTCACCAGGCTCGATGCAACGACTAGATTGTTCTAGCTGGACCCTTGGTAAATGAAACTCAAGAGTCAAGCAGTTAAGGTTAGCTGTCCCTGCCTTTATAGGTGGAAGCTTAAAACTCTCATGAGAAACTGATAAATGTAAGCTTCATTTATTTCTCATATAAAACATCGACTCCACTTATACATATGTATCAATCAAGATTGTGTTCTCTGTAAATAACAGGAAATCCTACAACAGTGGCTTTCAATGAGCCTAGGGAGTAGGCCTCCAACCCTTTTTAGCATCTGAATGATGCCAGCAGGCACCTCCTACCTTTTCAGTCAGTTGTGCTCTGCACATAGCCCTTCCTCCTACGCTCCCCACCTCAAGGTCCCAAGATGGCTCCTGCACCTCTGGCTCTCAGTGTACGTGTTTCAAGCAGGAAAAGAAGGAGACAGAAGAAGGCTTAGTGCCTAGATCAGAAAAGCAAGGGCTTTGCCAGAAACCTGCACATGTGTGTTTATGTTGCATTGGCCAGAACCATGTCACGTGGACACTGCTGCCTGCAGGAGACGTTGGGAAATCATTTCTAGGACTTGCAGCCTAGAGAGCTGAGGTAGGCAAAGGAGAAGGGTCTAGAAAGGAGATTGAGGTATCTGACCTATAGGTTCGCTTACTGCTTTGTACATACAGTGACTGTTTTAAAGACGTTAATAATTATCTATTGTTGATGCAAATAATCCACAATCAATCTATATCAAAATTGGGGTGAGTTTCTTATATGAGTCAGGTCAGGGGGCTATAGCCCAGGGAATTCCTTCTCCAAGGAAGGAAGCACTCTGAAGAAGTGGGGTGCACAGAGTGGTTATATACCATCTTGGAACAAAGAATATACATCATGTATAACAGGAATATCTCTTTTCCTATAGTCAGGAGATGCCTTGCTAGCATAGCAGTTCAGTGGTCACAAGGTGAAGACAGCAAGTTGATGGTCAGCAGGTCAGTGGTCACGAGATGAGGTAAAGCAAGTCAGTAACTAATCCTTAGCTGCCGGGAAGAAATGCTATCCTTAAAGAAATGCTGATATCCTGGAGGCAACATCCTTATCTTTAAGGGCAGCATTCTTGGCTTTGGGACACTATAAATGTTTATAGCAGATGTACAATGCATGCTCAACAGGCCACGTCAGGCCTTTCTGGAAAAACAAGGTCAGGCCGAATTAGTTTTAAACCAAATAACTTCCTCATATAATCCAATATATCCTATTGCTTTCCATTTATTCATCACTATTAACCTTCACTATGCAGATTAATTTCAACTGGAGCTGGATCCAAGGGATACAGTGAAATCAAAGAAAGGGGGCTTTGGAATCCAGTAGACATAGGTAGCAATCCCAGCTCCTACACTTTCCAGACGTGTGCATGGCACACAATTGGTTGTTGCCTTTAAATACGTGTTTTTGCTTTTTTGTTTGTTTTAAGAACATGAAATGCCTTTGACTTGTGCCTGTAAAGACTTGTGCCTGTGAATCCTCCCTTTGCCTGTTACCCTTACTAGTAGGGTAAGCCCACATTTTGCACTCACGCTACACAAAGCTGCACAAGTTACTTGACCACCTTCCCCTGCTTCCTCTCTCTGTAAAATAGGAGAATGGCCCCTTCCACTGCACAGCTGTGAGGACTCTGTAACACCACCTAGGCAAGGGGTTACAAAATTAAACCCTCCTTGGGAAATTTACGTTTTCAACAAGCAATTACTTTGGAGGACAGCCTTGCAAATGGATTATTTTTTGCAAGGACTGTCAACCACAGAAATGCCGTGAAACCTCAGTTTTGAGAAGCCTCTCCCAAACTGCTTGTCTTAGCAGCATTCAGTGTGAATGACTACACATGTGCCACCTTGGGATGCAGTTAGGCCATCTAAGGCCATTCTGTTTTGAAGGACCCCCTTGCTCATTAAAGACATTCCCTCTGACCATCTCAGAGCTTTGGTCAGATTTCTTTTGAAGACGTACATGATGCTTAGCATTTGACGAATGCAGTGGGCCCTGTTGAAATTAGCAGCAATCTAGAAATTACAATTATTCCATCCTGTAGCTTTGTTTATGACTAAGATTTTGTTGAGTTATTACTTTAATTCTAGCTACTCTAACTTCCTGCAAGGCTCTAGTTTACCTGGTGGAGCTGAGGTAATCTGAGTACATTATGAACACAAGCAAATACGATCCACCTATTTATACTTATAAGTTACTGTCCTAGAAAGATTGTTTAATGAGCATATCATCTCAAACTGCCTTGAATCTTTTTAAAAGTTAAATTAGGTGTTAAAAATTACCTCGACAGGGGCTGGCCCCGTGGCCGAGTGGTTGGGTTCGCGCGCTCTGCTGCAGGCGGCCCAGTGTTTCGTTGGTTCGGATCCTGGGCGCGGACATGGCACTGCTCGTCAGACCACGCTGAGGCGGCGTCCCACATGCCACAATTAGAAGGACCCACAACGAAGAATATACAATTATGTACCGGGGGGCTTTGGGGAGAAAAAGGAAAAAAATAAAATCTTTAAAAAAAAAAATTACCTCGACAAATAAGCAAACATAGAATACAGTAAAAAGAGAAAAAAACATATGATTTTTGTGTTGTAACATGTGTTACCAAAATATTCTTTCTGAAACTGTAAGATTCCATACTTATTTTCTTTTTCTTTCGGTTTGTTTCTGTGTGTGTGTTCTCCAGTCTCTAGAGATATAGAATACTATCTCCAAGTAACATATTCAGGTAACTGGTTATAATCAAACTATCTCCCAGAGGGCTCGAAGGAAAGTGCACTGTAAACTTAACATATTGTACAAGCCTGAAGTGATGCTTTGAGAGTTTTATCGTTTTTACCATGATTTAGATAAAAAGTCATCAGTTCTCCGCTCTTGTCAACAACGTAGTCATTCATTAATTGTATTTTTATAGATTGATACGCCAGACACTATACTAATTAATCTAACATATTTAGATTCTAAGTTTATGCAGCAAATGTTCACGCTGGAAAACTCTGGGTGGTGAGAATATGGGTAACTTCAATTTCATTGTTGTTGATGCAATTTAATGTAGTAGCCACGCCTAGCTTTACCATACAGGAAAGACTTCAAATACTGACTAACTTTACGTAAGGACACAAAATGGTTTGAAGGTAAGAAAAGAGAAAAATAGAACCGTAAAAGGGCCAAGAACAAAAAGATGGGCAACTGGAGGAAAGGTGGGAAGGGTGAGCAAGAGCTGCGGGCAGGGAGTGGGGGATTCCAAGGAGGTGGGTGGAAAATGGGGCGGAGCTTGGACGACTAACTCAAGGTCTAAGGGGTAGCCCCAAGGGCTATAAAAGCTTGGTGGAGCCAAGCAGGAAAGGCAGCCTAAAGTCTAGGCACATACGCAGAGGCCGGTAGGCGACAGCAGCTGCAGTGTCTAGACAAAGGCAGAAACGTCCAGAGCAGCCGAGATCAGGTCCAGGATGCGGCGCCTGTTCTTGTCTCACGTGCTAGGGGCCTGGCTGCTACTGAGCCAACTTCCTAGAGAACTCTCAGGCCAGAAGCCCGACGACGTTATTAAGGCATGCGGACGCGAATTAGCACGCCTGCGGATCGAGATCTGCGGCTCCCTCTCCTGGAAGAAAACGGTTCTGAGGCTGGAGGAGCCTGGGCTGGAAGCCGGACAACCCGTAGGTAAGAGCTCCCGCCCCCGGCCGCTCCGCACTTCCCATTGGATGCTGTCGGAGTGCAGACCATCCAGAACCGCCAGGCTCCGACCCTCACTAGCGGCGCGCGCTCAGCCCCGAGTGCTGCTGGTGCCTTCAACGGCTTTTTGCGCGGAACTGGCGTTTCTAGTAAGAGTCTCACCGGGGAGCTCAGCAGAGGGAGGGAAAGCAGCGGGAACAGCAAACGGCCGCACCCGAAAGGCACTTGGTGCCCTTCATCTCCTGGCACCCAGGGTGAAGGGGTGGGGAGAAGGGGGAAGCCACAGACGAGGTAAGGCTGCCCAAAGATCCGCAGGAGGTGGGGCGCCCTCGGCCCTGACCCCAGAGTCCAGGTCCGTGGGCCGGATAACGGGCGTGCTGGCGGTTGGGGCAACTGCACAGGACATCTCGACTTGAGACGACTGCGGGCATAATTCCTGTAGAATATTAATAGAAGAGTACCACAGATTTCAGGGATTTACTGTTCAAAGGACGGAAGACCAGATTGCATTGCGTTTGCTTTGTAAATTCACTTTTTCTGAACAAACAAGTAATATAGTCATATTAATAACTGAAAAATATACATAAATACAATAAGAAAAATGAAAAGCACTTATAGATATTAAAGACTTTGCAAATATGTTAATTTATTGAGAAAATGAAAATATCTATGTTAAATGAGGAACAGGAAAGCATGTTAACATTTGCAGATTTGTATGTATATCTCCAGCCTTTTCACTTAACATATTGTGAGCGGTTTCTCACATTGTAATTCTCCAAAAAGATAATTTAAAATTTCTTTGTAGTATTCCATGTCATAAGTCTACCATATATATTGAACCATTCCTAGCGGATCTTTAGGTTGCTTCCAAATTGTTGCCTGAAAATGGTTTCCCGAGCACATTTATATACAGCTATTTGGCCAAATTTCTGTTTCTATAGAAGTTACTTGTGATTTTAAAGTATTTTTAGAGAACCATCTTTAATGATACCCTGTTACATAATTTAACCAGAAATAACCTAACTAAATATTGCCTGTAAGTGAAGATCAAGAGAAATGTTTACATTACTAGTTAGAAACGTTTGGGAAGTTCATGTCAATAATTTGAAAGTCATCTAGTTTTAAAATCTCTATTGTTAGTTTCTATTTGTTTTTACATTGTAAAGTTGTTAGCTAACCATTTTTCCCACAAGTTGAGGGAAATACTCACTGTACCCCTTTTAAAAATAAGATAGACATTTTGAATTAGAAGAGATCTATGTTAGTGAGATGTTAGTCCAAAATCTAGTGATTAAGAGGTGTTTGAATTCAGGTCTATTAGAATATTATCTTTTAGTTAGATTCCAGAAGCTGAAGTTGTAGATTGCAAAACGTTTCAAAACAAGTTTAAAAAATAATTTTAATAAAAGAGTACAACACAGACAACAAAAGAAAAATTAGACAAGTGGGACTACGACACACTAAAAGGCTTCTGCACAACAAAGGAAATGATCAACAGAGTGAAAAGGCAACCTAGAGAATCAGAGAAAATATTTGCAAACTGTCTATCTGATAAGAGGTTAATTTCCAAAATCTATAAAGAACCCCTACAACTCCGTAGCGAGAAAACTAATACCCCAATCTAAAAATGGACTAGACACTAGAATAGACATTTCTCCAAAGAAGACATACAAATGGGCAACAGGTATAAGAAAAGATGCTCCACCTCACTAATCATCAGGGAAATAGAAATCAAAACCACAGCGAGATATCACCTCACACCTGTCAGGATGGCTATTGCAAAATAACAAAAAACAAGTGTTGTTGAGGATGTGGAGAAATTAGAACCCTTATATACTGTTGGTGGGAAAGGAAAATGGGGCAGCCACTATGAAAAACAGTGTGGAGCTTCCTCAAAAAAAAACAAAACAAAAAAACTCTAATTACCTTATGATCCAGCAATCTCCCACTTCTGGGTATTTAGCCAAAAGAACTGAAAGCAGGATCTTGAAGAGAGATTACCACTCCCATGTTCCTTGTAGCACTATTCACAATAGCCAAGATGTGGAAACAACTTAAATGTCCATCCGCAGATGAATGAAGAAAGAAACTGTCGTATAAATATTTACAAGGGAATGTTATTCAGCCTGAAAAAGAAAAGGGGGAAATCCTGCAATATACAACAACACGGATGAACCTGGAGGACATGATGCTATGGGAAAAAGACCTGCCACAGAAGGACAAATACTGCATGACTCCACTTACAAGGATCCAAAATAGTCAAACTCACAGAAGCAAAGAATAGAATGGTGGTTGCCAGGGTCTGGGAAGAGAGGGAAATGGGAAGCTGCAGAGCAACATGTATAAGATTTCAGTTATGCAAGATGAATTGGTTCTAGAAATCTGATGTAATAACATTGGACCTATAGATAACAGTGCTGTGTTGCACACTTAAAATTCTGTTAAAAGGGTAGATCTCATGTTAAATGTTCTTACCACAATTTTAAAAAAAGAGATATATGGGAACTCTGTCATATTTTTGTGAATTTTCTGTAACTTTAAAAGTATTTCAGAATAAAAGTTTATAAATTATAAAAACAAAAAAAAGACTGCCCCAAAACACAGCCTATGAATAAACATCATAGAAACTACAATTGTTTTGCCTGATTGGTCAACTGCCTTTAAGTATTTGGAAAGTTACTATCAGCCTTTCTCTGCATTCAGTAAGGTCCCAACTAGAGAAAGTTTAAGTTAGAGCAAGGAGAGGGTTTTTTTGGAGGTGAGTAGGTTGAATTAAACTTAGGATGTCTTCCTGAAGGAAAATGCCAAAACTTCTGACTACTAAAAAATGATATAAATTCTCATGTGTCGGTGCCAGTTTAGAACTTGAAGGAGAGAGAGCACTAGGAGGAAAGATGAAATGCTGAAGTACGTTTTCTTTCCACTGAAAACTCCAGCTGTTCAAATTTCTTTTTGGCTGAAAGGAGAGCAACTGAGACTCTTGCTACAGAATTCATAGGAGGTGGACCAGCCCCGGACCATTCCTGCCTGGATGAGGGGCATGGTTTTCTCTGATCAGTAGGCATCGCTGGTTACCCAGGAATCTACCCTCCATGCTGTGATTTATATCTCTTGGCCACATTGTTTCCACTATTTCAAGAGTACTGCCTTAACACTAAGCTGAGAAGGACAGTCTTGCTCTCCATGAGGAAGAACAGCAAGAACTGATCCAGGTTTACACTCTAATTTAAACTTCATCTGTGTTTCTAATTTGTTTTGGTGCTAAAACTCTCAAAATTGTGTAATCAGGATAATTAAGGTTAGAAGAGAGTTTACATGACTGGAAGTTTTTTGAGTCAAAAGTGCTATGAGGAAAGCATGAAGGGGACATGAGAGACGACAGAGGGTCAAGTGGAGTAAAGCTGAACCTTGGTAATGTTGTAGAACTTTAAGCTGTCCGACGATAAGAAGCTAAGTTGTTTAGATACCAGGATACTTACTGATTCTGTTTTAATGTTTAATTTACTTGAGACAATGCTTTCCTTTTTGTCTATGCAAAATTTTATAATTTTCCTGACGTTCTTTGACATGAATATTTTTTTCTCCTCTCCCTTTTTTTTAAATTTAGAAACTGTGTCATCCTCCATCAGCAAAGATGCAGAAGCTTTAAATACGAAGTTGGGACTCAATTCTAATTTGCCAAAAGAGCAGAAAGCAACACTGTCTGAGAGGCAGCCATCATGGAGGGAGCTGCTACAACAACCTGCATTAAAGGATTCAAATCTTAACTTGGAAGAATTTGAGGAAACCATTCTGAAGACACAAAGTGAAGTAGAAGATGACAGTCTTTCAGAATTAAAGAACCTAGGCTTAGATAAACATTCTCGTAAAAAGAGAATGATTCAACTGAGTCATAAGTGTTGCTACTGGGGTTGTACCAGAAAAGAACTCGCCAGACAATGCTGAGATGAAGCTAATGATGCATTTCATATAGATGTTCATGTGTGTTCTCAATGACACACTCACTGATGCCTCTGTCAACTGCGCTAATTATTAGAATATGAGAAATCATTATTAGTGTTTAGATTTTTCATTTGTTGTCTAAGAAAATATTCCTTCAGTTATTGCAGTGTCTGCTAATAAAACTCTTTATGCAAAAAAGTACTTTTGTCTTTTTTGTTAATCATATAATTGTCATTTTTTCAATACTGTTAACCCAAAATGACAATAACATCTTTATCACTTTAACCACACACAACAACTCAAAAAAAAATTTAAAAATAGATAGCTTAGGGGCTGGTCGGGTTGCATAGTGGTTAAGTTCACGTGCTCCACTTGGGCCGCCCGGGGTTTTCCGGTTCGGATCCTGGGTGCAGACCTACACTCTGCTTGTGGAGTCATGCTTTGGCAGGCGTCCCACATATAGAATAGAGGAAGATGGGCAGATGTTAGCTGAGAGCCAATCTTCCTCAGCAAAAGAGGAAGATTGGTGATGCATGTTAGCTCAGGGCTAGTCTTCCTCAAAAACAAAAAGTAAAAATAGATAGCTTAGTAAGACGCTATGTCTTGCATTAGAGAGAATGGATAAGTCTACTTTTGAAATTTGTATTTGATAAATTATAATCTGTCATCCACTCTTTTTCCTCCAGATCTAATGCCCAAATGTTTTTTCCCTACTTAATATTCAATAAACTATTAAATACCAAAGAAAAAGCACAAACTCATCTTACACAATGCCTAACACCAGGTACACAAAGTGGACCAAAATGTTTTTTATTAATATTAACTCTTAGACTGGATATACAAAGAATCATGAAACTTGGACATTTCTGGTAGATTTTAAAAGATTTCTGTGTCTTATTGAACTATTAATTGCAAACAATCAGAATGGACACTAAATCAATTTAACTTAGTTGGGGTCATATAAACTCAAGTATTTTTCAAACTATGGTTCTTCTCTTAGTTCTACTGTCTAAGACACTAAAAAGTAAATTATGTTTTCTTAAGGAGAAAAATGAATAGACATATATATAGAAGAGAATAAACAACGTAGTATGTGTAGAAGAACTGGTTTAGCAAGGGAAAACACTTTATGGTCACTATTTTAGAATTTGCAAACCATTTCTGTGACAAAACAACTGTGAAGCAATATAAAAACTTGTTCAGATAGTAAATTAATATAGTTATCATCTTAGTATTTAGCCAGTACCTTCAAGTTAAACATACCTCCATTTTTAGACTGCATTTAGAGGAAAATGCACTTCAGTAGCAAGTTAATCTCCATCAAATATCTATTAGGAGAATTTAAAGAGATTAAAACAGCAACTCCCATATTTCTAATCCCCACACATCATTAATCATAACCAGGCTTCTCGTTCATTAAGTCTTCACCAAGGCCGCCTTGTAAAACTTTGTAAGTGGCTGCAGAACCTCAGAGACCAGAAGCCACCTTGGACAAAGCCAGGAAGAGTGCTATCTGAAATAGAAATTTCAACCTAGGAGAATGAGGGCAGTGTCCAGGAAACTTACAGCCTGGACAGGACAAACAGGCATCTCCCCAGATCCTGCCCTGGCTGGGGTCCTTCATCTGCTCTTCCACAAAAGGCCTGGAGACAGTGCTCCTAGTCCCAGAATCTGCATTTGCTACCTCTGATAATTGGACCACTTTTTAAGTGGTACAAAGACAATCTGTAGCTAACCATCTACTATAAACACTCAAGTAACCAATTATGACCTTTAAGATGTCTAATTCTCATGCTACTAAAGTCCTCCTAAAACTCTCAGCAGAAACTGATGAGTGTCTGCTTATTTTATTTCCTGTTTAAAGTATTTAGTCTGTTTATATATATATGTATCAGTTACAATTGTATTCTTTGTAAATAACCGCAAAATCTGTAACAGTGACTTCAAAGAAGACTGTGGAATAAGCATCCAACCCTGTTTAGCATCTGAGTGATGCCAGCAGGCACCTCCCACCTTTCAGTCAGCTGTGCTTTGCATATAGGCCTTCCTACTATGCTCCCCACCTCATGGTCCCAAGATGGCTCCTGCACCTCTGGGTCTCATTGTGCATGTTTCAGGCAGAAAATAAGGAGACAGAAGAAGGCTTAGTGCCTCAATCGGAAAAGCAAAGGCTTTGCCAGAAACCTCCACATGTGTGTTTATGTTGCATCAGTCAGAACCATGTCACATGGATGCTGCTATGTGCAAGAAACATTGGGAAATCATTTCTACGACTTAGAGGCTAGTGAATTGAGATAGGCAAGGGAGAAGGGTCTAGAAAGGAGATTGGGTCAGTCAACCTATAGCTTAACTCATGCTCGCTGCTCTTGTACCTACAATGAGTATTTCAAAAACATTAATCTTTATTTATTAGCCTTCACCATTAAGATTAATTCCAACTGGAGTTGGATCCGAGGGATATCATGGGAAAAAGAAAGAAGTCTTTGGAATCCAGTAGACACGGGTAGGAACTGCAGCTCCAGCACGTACCAGCTGTCTGCATGGGTACGTTTATTTTTTCTCTTTAAAAAGATGTCTTTGTGGGGCTGGCCCCGTGGCTGAGTGGTTAAGTCCGCGCGCTCTGCTGCAGGCGGTCCAGTGTTTCGTTGGTTTGAATCCTGGGTGCGGACATGGCACTGCTCATTGAACCACGCTGAGGCAGCGTCCCGCATGCCACGGCTAGAAGGACCCACAGCTAAGAGTATACAACTATGTACCGGGGGGCTTTGGGGAGAAAAAGGAAAAAAATAAAATCTTAAAAAAAAAAAGATGTCTTTGTTTCTTTTGTCTTCACTGAAAACATTTATTTTTATTTTTAAATTAGTAGTTGTTATTTTTTAAAGTAGTTTTCGGTTTACAGAAAAAATATAGGGGAAAGTACAGAGAGTTCCCATCTGCCTCCTCACCCACACAGTTTTCCCTATTATTAACATCTTGCAATAGTGTGGTATGTTTGTGTCAATTGATGAACTGATATTGATATATTATTATTATAATTATTATTAATTAAAGTCTATAGTTTACATTAAGGCTCATTCTTTGTGTTGTATATTTTATTTTTTTTTAATTAATTGACTTATTTTTAGATGAGTTTTAGGTTCACAGCAAACTGGAGTGGAAAGTGCAGAAAGTTCCCACCCACTACCTTCCCCCCTACCCCAACCTCCCCTACCATTTGCACTTTTGTTACATGTGGTACATTGGGTACAACTGATGGGCCAACATTGACATAACATTATCAACCAAAGCCCATAGTTCACATTATGGTTCACACTTGGTATTGTATATTCTACAGGTTTTGACAAATGTATAATCACATGTACACAGCCTTATAGGATCATACAGAACAGTTTCATTGCCATAAAAGTCCCCTATGCTCCACTTATTCATCCCTTTCCCCCCACAAATCCTTGGCAACCACCAATCTTTTACTATCTCCATAGCTGTGCCTTTCCAGAAACTCATAAAGTTATTACACAGTAAATAACCTTTTCAGATTGGCTTCTTTCATTTAGTAATATGCCTTTAAGATTCCTCCATGTCTTTTCAAGGCTTGGTAACTCATTTCTTGATAGTGCTGAGTAACATTCCATTGTACAGATATACCACAGTTTGCTTATCCATTCACCTATTGAAGGACACCTTGGTTGACAAATCCAACATCACTTAGATTTTCTCTTATGTTGTCTTCTAGGAGTTTTATAGTTTTGCATTCTTTTATTGTGGTAAAATACACATACCATAAAATTTACTATTTTAACCATTTTTTTTTTTTTATAATTAATTTGGTGGCTGCTTTTTTTTTTTTTTTAAAGATTTTATTTTTTCCTTTTTCTCCCCAAAGCCCCCCTGGTACATAGTTGTATATTCTTGGTTGTGGGTCCTTCTAGTTGTGGTATGTGGGACGCCGCCTCAGCGTGGTTTGATGAGCAGCGTCATGTCCGCGCCCAGGATTCGAACCAACGAAACACTGGGCCGCCTGCAGCAGAGCGCGCGAACTTAACCACTCGGCCACGGAGCCAGCCCCATATTTTAACCATTTTTAAATGTACAGTGTACTGGCATTAAGTACATTCACATTGTTGTGCAATCATCACTACTATCTATGTCCAGAACTTTTTCATTATCTACACTGAATCTCTGTACCCTTTAAAAGGAACTCCCCTATTCTACCACCACAAGCCCCTGGTAACCACTACAGGTTTTCCTCAACTTACCATGGTGTTATATCCTGATAAACCCATTGTAAGTTGAAAATATCACAAGTTGAAAATGCATTTAATACGCCAAACCTACTGAACATCATAGCTTAATCTAGCCTACCTTAATCATGCTCAGAACACTTACATTAGCCTACAGTTGAGTGAAATCATTTAACACAAAGCCTATTGTATAATAAAGTGTTGACTGTCTCATGTAGTTTATTGAATACTGTACTGAAAGCAAAAAACAGAATGGTTGTACGGGTACAGAATGGTTGTAAGTGTATCGGATATTTACCCTCATGATTGCCTAGCTGATTGGGACCTGCAGCTTGCTGCCACTGCCCAGTGTCGTGAGACAGTATTGTATTGTTAGCCTGCGAAAAGATGAAAAAAATTTAAAGTATGGTTACATTGTTTTTGCAACCATTATAAAGTCAAAAAGTCGTATGTCAAACCATCATAAGCTGGGGACTGCTGTATTCGATTATCTGTCTCCATGACATTGACTTTTCTAGATACCTCATATAATATAAGGAACCATATAATATTTGTCCTTTTGTGTCTGGCTTATTTCACTTAGTAAAATGTTTTTAAGTTTCATCCATATTGTAGCATGTATCAGAAATTCATTCCTTTTTATGGCAGAATAATGTTTTATTGCATGTATACACTGCATTTTGCTTATCTATTCATCCATTGATGGACATTTGGATTGTTTCCACCTTTTGGCTTTTGTAAATAATGCTGCTATGAACATAAGTGTACAAATATCTGTTTGAGTCCCTGCTTTCAATTCTCTTGTGTATATACTTAGGAGTGGAATTGCTGGGTCATATGGCCATTCTATTTTTAACTTTTTGAGGAACCATCATTCTTTCCACAGAGGGTGTACCATTTTACATTCTCACTAGCAGTGCACAAGGGTTCCAGTTTCTCCACATCCTTGTC